ACACACTCCCACACACACACACACACACACACACACACACACACTCACACACACACACACACTCACACACACACACACACTCACACATACACACACACATACACACACACACACACATACACACACACACACACATACACACACACACACACATACACACACACTCACACACACACACACTCACACACACACACACACACACACACACACACACACACAAACACACACACAGCGCGCGCGCTCAGGGGAAAGGATATCAGAGGTGTTTGTGACATCCGCGGAATGCTTTGAGCACGAGAGAGAGAATCAGAACTACTTTGAGAAATGTACTAAAAGTCTTTAAGCTTTTGGTTATTGGGCCGCGTATTACGTTACGCTGTAGCGGAAATGAGAAAACGAGATGGAAAATAGAAACAAAAAGAGAATTTCTCACCCCAAGTAGATCTAAGGCAGGAGAGAGAAGCCAGGCTGAGAGGTTCCTCCAGGCTAGGCAGGCGGTGAGTTTCTTTGCTTTCTACGCTGATGTCTGCCTTTGTATAAACGCCATTACTATACTGCTTTAAGGTCAACAGGTACACCTAAAGCCTTTCGTATATTGGTCAGAATCCTTACTATAATGCTTGATACAAATGAGAATAAACATGTAGAATAAATTGTATGAATTAGAAAAAGGTAAATAAAACAGCACATTTATTGACCCCAGAAGGGAACTTGATGCACATCCCCAGAATCCACAATATCACAGCAGTTCGGACAATTGTACACAGATGTGAGTGTGTGTCGTCGCTGTGCAGCACTGTTTTGGAGCTCGGGTCTTGTTCAAGGACACACCTTTGGGACCACCCAGTTTACTTCCTTTCCTGCTCTCTAGCAATATTCTGTCGTCTGCGTTCTTCTCCACTTTCTGCCCCCACCCCCTCACCTCCTTTGCCCCCTCCTCTGGGCTCCTGACTCTTTCTGCAGCCTTTTTATTGCCACTCCTTGGCTCCTCCTTACTGCTGTCTTTCTGCCACACCCCTGATCTTCCGGTAGGAAAGATTTACACTGAGCCTTCTCGGACAAGGGCGAAAAATCTCGGAGGTGCTGAGTGCAAGTTGCGCACGTTAAAGATCCCTTGGTGGTCTAAAACCGATAAATAAGAGTAGGCTTCAGCTGCCACCCGCCAAAATTCAAAATTTCCTCTCAACTGAATTTTTTTTTGCTGTGTCCCACGAGCCCAATAAGACCTGATGCAGTTGCTAGCGCCGTAAAAAACCACACCTTACCACCCAGCTAAATGCAGTATCACCTGTATAAGACGATCACCTGTACAAACGGACACATATCATAATAATAATATCCTCCCTCTGTATTAAAAAAGAAATGTAATACGTGAAACTAATGAAATCAAAGAAACTGGCATTTTTTCTGGCCGTTGGGTAATTCTTTCCTAATTTTATATCTTTGGCTCACTATCTTTTATGTCCATTTAAAAACGCGTTTCTGTGTGGCTTTTGCTGAATCCATTGATGAAAGTCACAAAAAAAAAGAGTAAATTTTCATTTTCCAAGGACTCTCAAGCTATGAAAGCTATCAACCTTTGGCGGCGATTTTCTCGCTAATTTTACCTCTGAAACCATGGTGACCCTGACCTCCTTCAATTGCAGATATCTCGACTTCTGTTCTACATAGATGGATATTTTTTTCACCAAGAGCATGGCACATTTTCAGGCGTAATTAATTCGCTACGTATTATTTGGGCTTGAGGACGAATTTTTTTCAGACGGTCGAAATGAGATGATGACTAGTCCGCAGTTCAAAGGTCTTTGGGACCACAAATTCATATTAATAGCCCAATATTATACACCAACATTTTCAGTATGATTTGTAGAATACATCTGTAATGGTTATTTGTGTATTTTTCAACCTTAATTCATGTAGGAGGCGATTATGCAACACAATTTTGCTTAGATGCGGATAAAATTTGAAATTGAAAAATTAATCATCTTTGGTGAAACTCAAAAAATATGTTTGCACTTAATCAAATAAAAGAACACCGAACTGGAAAATATTGAAAAATTTGCAGCTATTTCCATAAATTCCACACAATTTGTACATTTAGATCATAACATACGATGTTGAAAAAAAATTATAGTCTTGAAAAAAGGACAAGACGCAATCCCTAACAGAAAAAAACCCCACTCGTATCTTCTATGGAAGTATTCAGAATTTCATTTAGAATCAACCCACACATGTTTTGAGTGGTACTTTTTGTGTAATTCCACCCCCAAAAATAGTGATTTTGGGGAGAAAAAAATATTTTGACAATTTAGATTTAGATCTAGATCTAGCTCTGAAAAATATTGATTTCTCAATAACAGAGCAATGGAAATTTGAGTCCAATAGTATCTACATTCTAAAGAATAGTCCTGTCTGCATGACTTGAAGAAGTTCTGCACGCACGCACGTCTTGTTGGGTCCTCACGTCTGCTCACGTCAGGTCATGTCAGTGAAATCACCGAGAGGAAATAAAGAGGCGGGCACGACCTTCTTCGCGGCGCCCTTCAGTTGTGCGTGACAGAATATATGTTCAGCCTTACTCCCTCTCTCTGAGCACAACCTCCAGCTGTATCGCTTGTTCCGGTGTGTGTGTGTGTGTGTGTGTGTGTGTGTGTGTGTGTGTGTGTGTGTGTGTGTGTGTGTGTGTGTGTGTGTGTGTGTGTGTTTATTTAGTGGGCAGGGTACTCTCAGAATTGGCCAATTTATCACGCGCTCGATTTGGTATGGCGGGATGAGGGGAACAGGGGGACGGAAGGAGATGAGTTTGATGCAAGGAGTTTAGAACTTTTACTTTTAATCTCTTTGGTTTGATGATGGTTTTTGGCGTGGGACGGTAGATGATGTAGCTGTGAGACTGGATGGACTTGAGCAATAGAACTATACAGCCAAACCTGCTCTAACGATCACTATTCAAGAAAATAGCATGTACAACCAACAAACGGGTGGGATGAGAAGGTGGTTAAGCTTGATAGTTTTAGTAAGAGTTTTACGACACTTGCAGCACTGCAACGACAACCCCCCCCCTCCCCCTCCATGCACGTTTTCCCATTTATAATGATGATTCTGCTTAAGAGGGCCGCATTTCTATAATAACCACGGATAATCGTTTTGGACAGGTTCGACTGTTTATGGCGATGTATATCCGATTCGTGTCTGTTAGCTTGTGTGTATGCCGCTTTCTTCACGGGACTTTGGGAGACGCTGTTGGATCGTCCTACTTCCTTGCGCTATCTATCTATCTATCTATCTATCTGTCTGTCTGTCTGTCTGTCTGTCTGTCTGTCTGTCTGTCTGTCTGTCTGTCT